GATCAAATAGTCATCCAAAACTTATTATTATTATTCTATTATCCTAAACACTATGTTAGCAAACTTTTGTTTATATTAATAAATATAAAATTTCAATATATATATTTAATCAATTTAATCTTAAATTTTGTTTCAAAAGTTTTAGAAGTATTCCAATAAACATAATACCTTCTTAATATCTAATAAATACACTAATAACTCAGTCTCTAAGAATTGCCGATTGTGTAAAGTTTATCAAATAACGTTCGCTTCGTTCTGAATGCATACTTGTAGACAGTTTTCGAATATTTCTCCTTTTCTGTTGATTTATCAATGTCGGCTTAACAATATATTCCCAAAAATACACCGAATTCTTGCACCAGATCGATTCCGTTGGGAGTCATCAATGTTTGGCCGCGGTCTGCGCATGTCTTGTGGAGGGGAAAGGTACATCCCGTTTCGCCCGATGTACCTTTGAACCGCGATTGTAAGGGAATAGCAAATGTCTACCTAGATATCACAAACTTAGCAAAAAGTATTAGAATTCAAATATATATATATATACATACAAATATATACATACAAAAATATACATACAAATTTTTTTATTGAATTGCGCTCTATCTAAAATACAATATTAAGAGCTAGAACTTTCAGAAAATTGTTTTTTATCAATTTGAAACCATTTGAACCCTTGGGAGCAAGGAAATTGAACATCATACATTTGGTTATTGAATGGTGATACACATCAGGTATCAAAACGTATAGAAATAGAGAAAATTATTTTTCCTAACTATTTTTTTCTTTCAGAAAAATATTTATTTAATACCATGATGAATAAATGTTATAGAACAGTCCACATGGATTTAATTAGAGGTTAAGTGGTTCAGAAATATTCTTATGTGTCATAACATATGAGGTCACGAATACTATACAGATGGCGCAAGAATTTACTTAATGGCGTATGTTAATAACAAATATAAGAAACTTTCAATTGGTGTGCGCTCTATCTAAATGTTTATATTAAGAGCTAATACTATTAAAGATTCATTTTTTATTCATTTGGAAGCATTGGTGCCCTTGGGAGCAAAGAAATTCGAAAATGTCTTTGTTAACGACCACCCTAATATATATATATATATATATATATATATATATATATCTTGATAGTTTTTTTCGACGTTGAAACATATTTCAAAGTAACTAGCAGCCCATTCGTCGAAATAAAAAAGGTATAAAGTGTAATACTTTTATTTATACGTTTCGACACAAGATGCGTGTCATCATTCAGCAACACAGGACAAAAACTTTTTTGTTGTAAATTTTGTTGTAAAAAAACTGTTTTGTTTGTAAATTTTTGTTGAGTGTTTTTGTCCTGTGTTGCTGAATGATGACACGCATCTTGTGTCGAAACGTATAAATAAAAGTATTACACTTTATACCTTTTTTATTTCGACGAATGGGCTGCTAGTTACTTTGAAATATATATATATATATATATATATATATATATATGTATATGTATATATATATATATATTTATATATTTTATATATAGGGTAGGATATCTCAAAAACAAGTGAATTTTTCAACAACAATATTTGAAAGTAGAGGGAAAAAGATGTATAACCATCCATCTATAGTCTTGATTCTTACGACCAAATAAGTCTAATGTTTGAAAATCCACAACAAAAGTATTTTTTTCGTTATTAGTTTTTTTTAGCTGTGAGCACTGTTGTTTAGTTTACGAGACCTTAATATCATGTTTTAAGTGAATTGTTAATTTTGATTCAGCTTCTACAGTTTTTCATATGATACCTCTAGAAACTTACATGTGGCTGGGGTAAATATTACTGAAATTTCTAAAGTATCCAGAACGGAGATTCTTTTTTTGGATATATTTTTTCCATATTTTTTCAAATTTTTATTTCAAATTATTTTAATATTTTTCTACTCTAATCATTATTATTATTTTCATACTATTTTTTTGATACTGCCCTTAATTATTATTTTCCAGATTTGAGACTTAAATGAAAATTTCGAAACGAATATTTAAAGGTTTTTTTCACAATTAGAAGAATCTCAAGAACTACATGCCTTAAATAAACTATGTATTTTAATATCGTAACATTTTTTTCTTCAACTTGTTGCATTACATAATAGTAATGTTAGGCTTAATATTGTTTTAGTGTTGTATTCTACTAATTTAATTCAATTAAAATAATTTATTTTCTGTAATTACTAAATTTTATCCTGCATCCAAAATGTAAATATAAAAATAAATATACCTTTGCAATAAAATAGAGAGAATAGTTAGAAAAACATAAAATTTATTTTATAATTTTCTATAATAAATTATGAATAATGGGTTTGACCTGTAAAGCAATCCATCATAGAACTATTTACTACTACTACCGAAACCTAATTATTATTTTCGATTTATTGCACGCATTTGTTACATTACGTGATAGATATTTATTACTACCGAAATCATTCCTTGTCTGAAACAATGTAACAAAAATGTTATAATCTCTTGATTGATTTACTTATTTTTATATTTAAAAAAAAATAATACGAGAATTAAATTCACATTACAATGTCTGCTTTTCATCATCGTTTGTTAGTTCCAGTACCGAATATGCTAATGTCTTGTTGGCTTTGTTGGGGGTCCAAAAGCCTCACGGGGGATGTTTGCCAAGAATACTCTGTTTGATGTTTACCCGTGAAGATCACGCTAAAGTTTATACATAGGGATGTAGTAACTATTATATGCAAAACAATAAACAAGAGGGAACGGCTTTATTCATACATCGTTTTGCAGATGATGATTCATATTGCATTTGAAATCAGATATTACTGAAATTTATTCATGGTATGAATACGTTTATATTACAGAAAATATTAATATTATATATTAGAATGCATTTCCGTTACTTTTTGTTATTTTTGTATTTCTGTATGTTTTTGAATAAATAATAAAAGTTTATTTGTTTATTCACCCTCATATGAAAAAAATCATCTAAAGCAAAAGCTAAATATGAAAAATTAATGTTATATATCTGGTAATATAATATAACACAATGATATAATATTTGCATTAAAAATGATATTAAAATTGTGTAATAAAACTGTGCTAGTTAAACTCACAATCAGATCGATTTCAGTTTGAGTAGTGTGAATAAAAAACATATAATATAAAATTTATATAGGCTCGAATAAATTGTGGAGACTTATAATCGTAGAATAAGAAAATTTAAAATTAAAAAATAATTTGAGTGACCAAATGCCAATAATAAAATTAAAAAAACAATGCTAATTTCATTTGTTTCAAGTAATTCATGTAGTATTTATGATATTTGTGTTTATATCAAATGATTTGTATTTGATATCAAATGAGTAAATAACTTCCCGTAGGGCAAGTTATAGTAATCGCAGAAAAATTGAAAATAAAATTGTTTATATATCTTTACGTTTCAAAACCACCTGAACATTTTGGCATACTTTAGAAAAATGGATGTGTGTGTATGTGTGCGAATACAAATTTTTTAATATGCTGTTATGATACACAAAGTTTATTAGTTTTATCTACTTTTTGTATCATTTACTTCACAAATGTCAAGAAATAATAATAGAAGATGATCAGCAGTTGCTCTTTGCAATAATATATATATATATATATATATATATATATATATATCATTATATATTATTCAATATTACAAAATTCTAATTGATTAGTCATTTAAATCCCCAATGATAATACAAAATTCAGATCAAGTAGTCATTCAAATCCTAAAATATCATTTATACTTTTGATGTAGTTTTTTGATATTACAAAATTCTGATCAAATAGTCATCCAAACCCTAAAAGATCTTTTACTTTTGGTATTGTTTTGTGATATCGCTAAATTCTGATCAAATAGTCAACCAAATCCTATAAGAGTTTGAAATTTTGATATAGTTCTTTGATATTACAAATTTGTAATAAAATAGATACTGAAATTCTATAAGATGCTGTCGTAAGACACAAAATTTGTTAGTTTTATCTACTTTTTGTACTGCAGATCACCTACCTGGCAAATGTGTATGAATAATGATAAAAGATGATTATGAGTTGCTTTTTGCAATAAAAATACATATAACCTATATTTTGTTGTGATGGTAACTACTAAATAATATTTGAATTAACCATCGTCATTTTCCTCAAAAATTTTCGATTACAATATTGAATCTACATTATACTAGGATCTAGGATCTAATAACTCTTCATGCTGCACTAACTTTGACATAAAAAGTCTCGCATTAGTGAGGATGCTGAAGATGCTAAATTAAAATATACGGTAATATTACCTACTCTTCGCAGCAGCACAAATAAAAAAGCTCATCTTATAATCGCTAAGGAACTCATAAGGAGCCTTGTAAATCTCACACAGCTAGTGTATAGAAAAGCACACAGCGAGCTTATTGCAAAGCTCGAAGCTCCGACGGAAAGTCCGCATACGACGCGATCATGATTCCCCTCATGGTATCAATTCGAAGGCGTGCTTCGATCGCGGTGGAGGACAGGCGGTGTTTCGGATAAATTATGAATAAAAGGTGGAGTTTGCAGGGAACCCGCCCTTATTCAACGTAATACCGAAGGGATGCATGCGCACTGAGGTTGATATCAAAGCCTGACAGTACGATCTCAAAAGCCTGACAGGCCAGTTGTGTTTCTTCTCTTCTATGATTTTTAATCATTTCCACCAACATTTTTTTCTTAAAATTGGTATAAACATAGTACTTCCAAAAATCTATTAACCCTACAATTCACCCTCACAATTTAAAAATTATTTCTATAAATTTATTCGTGAACTGTGCAATAAAGTGCATATTTAATACACAAGTGTTATTAAAATTTCCAAAGTGACATGAGTTCAAAATAATTTGGTGAAAATATATTAATTTTGTAAAGTGATTGCCAACCGCGCATGCGGGGCGTATTTGGTTCGCAGGGGTGCGATCAGGGGTGGACTTGGAATATGTTAGAATTTTATTCTAATTTGACTGCATTAGGTGGCGCCATGGGACCCATGAGAGGCCCAGAAGACGAAGCTCTTAGGGGCAATTTACCTTGTGCTGATAGACCAGGTTAGACACAAAATTGTAATTGAACTCATAATCTAAAAATAATAAAAATAGTCCTATATGACTTTCACGTCTAATTTATTAAATATTCTAGAATGGATTTGTGTGCAAAAATCATCGAGAATTATTTTTTATTTATATTTATCACATATTTAAAAATTTATTTTTGAAATTATATACGACAATAAGAATTTTTCATCCCAAAAGCTTACAAAATATTTTATATACATTATATCTCAGGTGCAATTTAATGCAATCAATATTGTTGTTAAAATAATTAAATGAATAAATCCAAATTAAATTATCATTTGTAATACTTTCATAAATTCTTAAAAATCAATATAATCTAAATTATATAATTTAAGTCAAAATCGTGTTATACAACTCTTTATAATGCCGTATAAAAAAAGTTCTTTTCGAAGAGACCGGAAGGAACTTCTCAAAAAGCTTTTGAAAAAGTTGTTCTTCCCTTATTGTCAATGTTTTTATCGACATTTCCTGAAGTGCTCACCTGCATAGTACATCTTGTATTTGTATATTTGTTATTGTATATATGTATATATAATCCTTTATTTCATAACTTTCCCAAAAACAGTTTTTATAAATATAAAGTTCATTATTTTCAAATAATTAATGCTGCAAGTAAAGTGGCATATTATATCAACTTTTTCTGTATACTGTGAATTTATAATCCATAATCAATACTTTAACATATATATTTAAACCAGAAATATTCAAAATAGAAACTTAAAATTCTATAACATAAACTTTTATAAAAAATTTTGACTGAGATTTTTGTAATTTTAATATCTAATATGCTATCGTACCTGCTAATATGTAACCATAATTTTTTTATTTTCATATCTATTCTATAAAATCTGTTCATTGTTTTGTATGAGCAGATCGCAAAATAAAAACATCAAAAAAAGTTCCAACAATTATAATTACAATTAAAACAATAAAATAAAGTTTTTGCACATATATCCATAATCGATATTATTAAAACTAAAATGAATAATTAATGTACAGGATACAATATACAATAAATAAATTTTAATTTCTAAAATTAAATATTAATTTTTATTTGTAAATATGAAATAGAATATAAAATATATAAAAGATCATTGCAATCGATAATTGCAATTATCGATTTAATTTGGTATTTTCAGAGAAAAAAAAACAAAAGACTACACATGTAGACGTGCAGTGTTTTCACTATTTTACAGTCATCATTTTTTCATCTTTAGATTTGGTTTTACGAATGAAAAGGCTTTCAATCTCAATCAGTTATTAGAAAATAATTCTTCAATTCAATCAAATATTAATTTACAGGTATTAACAAGAAATAAAGTTAATCAAAGCTAAATAATTGAAGTTTGACAGTAGGTAAGGTGTGAAATGCAATGCATTTGTTTTTAAATACTAATAAATTTTTTTATAAAATATTTAATAATGATTAATTTGTATTAAATTAATGTGTTCGATACTTAGAGATTTAATTATTATCAATAAGCAATAAATCAGTGAAAATTAAAGAAAAATGTATAAATTTAAAATATTGATTGTAATAATAATTATTCAGAGTTATATTAATAACTAGCAAACCCGACGAACTCCGTTTCGCCACCAGATGGTTTCGTGAGAAAGATGAAGAATTTTTTTGTATTTTGATTACAAAAATGTATTGATTTTTAGTTGAACTTCTCTAAGTAAATAAAAGTGAATCCGCAAATTATCCGTTTCATTGAAGTGCTCTTTGGTAAACTACATTTTACTAATTTTCTTAGCTATAAACCTTGCGGAGCCCGAGACCTTTCCAACGAATGCAAAATTGTCAAAATTGGTTTGTGCGTTCTGGAGTTATATCGTCAGGAAGGAAAACCCGACTTATTTTTATATATATGTAGATAATGTTTCAGAGTTCAGGAAAGTAATTATAAATTCCCTCTGAAAATCGAAAAAACCTACATTATAGTTATTGCTATACTAAAATAAACTATTATTACTATTCTATTATACTTGATAAAAAATGAATCTGCTGAATATAAATATGGAATGATTCAATATACGACTTCATTCAATATTAAATTCATTCTGTATTGAGTTCTTAATCAAAATTCTTAGATTATTAGTGAGTTTGCTTTTTCTAAATTTTTATTTTTCTATTTTTCAGAATGTGAGCCTCCACCACCTATAGCACCGAGCATAAAACTCGAACCCCAAGCCACTGGCGCTTCATCCTGCACAGGCTGCGGTCGTCTGATCCTGGACCGATTCCTGCTCCGAGTGGCAGACGCATCCTGGCACGAACATTGTTTAAGATGTTGTGCCTGCGGCGACACGTTATCCAGGTCCTGCTTCGCTCGCGATTTACGCCTTTACTGCAGGGCGGATTACGAACGAGCATTTGCAGCCAAATGTTCCCGCTGCTGCGAACGATTGCTCCCGAGGGATTTGGTGATGAGAGCTCAACAGCATGTTTATCATGTGGCTTGTTTTTCTTGCGCCGTTTGTGAAAGACCTCTGCAGAAAGGAGAACAGTTTGTTATAAGAGCTGGAAGACTGTTCTGCAGGCGAGACTTTGAAAAGGAGATGTTTTTTCTAGGGGTAATAATAATAAATACTTAATAAATACTTATTGAATTATACCGCTTATAGAAACTTCAATGTGTTTTTAGTTGATTGACAATTACAACTTTTTACTTCAGTTCTTATAAAACATAAAATTACTTTTTAATTTTTTTTTTATTTATTTCTTATAACCAATCTGAACCTTGGGTTCAATGAGGTTATTTGCTGACGGGTACAGGGCTTTTAGAAATTTCCCCAATAGAGAATTTCCTTACATAAATAAAGTGATTGTTAATTTATTAAATCTTGCGGCCACTTTCATTTTAATCTTCTCGTAGGTACTTGTTTTTTCTGGTCTATTATTAGAGACTTTTTAATATAAATCAATTTTTGTGTTTAAGAAATATTTCAGTAATTGTGTATTTCAACACATATTAAGTTTTTCTAAACATATTATATTATTTTTAAGTTTGCTTCAATTTTTTTTTAATATCTTATGTTTGTTCTCTAGGTGGATGATGATATGATTGTAGATGATTCATCAAGACCAAGAGATGGAAGAAGAGGCCCCAAAAGGCCTCGAACGATACTGACATCAGCCCAAAGAAGACAATTCAAAGCATCATTCGAACTTAGTCCTAAACCCTGCAGAAAAGTCAGAGAAGCTTTGGCAAAGGAAACTGGACTGAGCGTGCGGGTTGTTCAGGTAGAATAGATATATATACTTCTTTAAGACATTTAAAAAAAATAAAAGCTGATATAATTTGCTACTTCTACGACAATTATTTATTTTAGATAAGTCAAGGAATAAATATATAAAGTATATTAATGGAAAAAAATCAGTCGGATTCTAATTTTATTTTCATAAGGTCAAATGTTTAAGTTATAAATAAAACTTTGCATTAACAATTGAAACTATCTACATACAGTAGAACCTTGATTATCCGGACCTCGGTTATACGGAAATGCGATTATCCGGACTATCATCCGTGACTAATTTATATGTATGAACATATCTACAATTCAAATTTTTGCAGGATTTTTGCTGCAATTCAGTACATGTATGTAATGTAATCGAAGAAAATATGTATGTACATGCATAAGGAAGTGTTAATTTCTCAATAAACATTGATTTTTTGTTGATATCTATGTATGCAATTGTTATTTTTAATAAATACACAACATATTCTTCATACATTCGATTATCCGGATTTTTGATTATCCGAATGCCCATCGAAAACAATTAGTCTGGTTAATCTAGGTTCTAGTGTAATTATTATTACTAAACATATGATTGTGTCTTATACTATAGTAAAACTGCAAAGCATATTAATTGAAATGATTCGATAATATTTCTTTTAACACTTTAAATGCCATATTAGTCATTTGTGTATGACTTGTACAGAAATTCTACATATATGTGTCGGACACGTCAATCACAAATGTCTGACGCAAGCAATACTTTTTCAAAGCCTAAAAATTTCTTGGCTTATATATAAAACACTTTTCTCTCGACAAGCCGTGTATTGGAAAAAAAAGGTTTATTAGTATAAGCCATGTAAGTCATGCAGGTGCTAAATAAAAATAGTTTTTCTCCAGAAATATTTGCTAATTACTTTGACATTTTTCAGTTGCCTAACAGTTTTCTTGATACATTTTTTAACTAAATTATCTAATAAAGTTACCATGGCCCACGTATTTTTTTTTCTGATACTGAAAAAAATACTATCTA